GGAGTTGTTGAGAATATAATACATTCATCCAGATTAAAATTAAAAGATTGTGACGATTTTTAATGTTGGTTCTGCAGCGATAAAGATGCCCCCTCCCTACAGCATCGGAGCCAGTACGCGTACACTGCACATACGTGCATAGGCCTATTTGCACAAAAAACCTAGGTGGGTAAAACGCGGAACTCTCATTTTAAAGGTCTTCCCGGTGAATTTCCGAAAGATAAAAATCACAGGAGTTGTTGAGAATATAATACATTTATCCAGATTAAAATTAAAAGATTGTGACGATTTTTAATGTTGGTTCTGCAGCGCTAAAGATGCCCCCTCCCTACCTACGGCATCGGAGCCAGTACGTGTACACTGCACATAACGTGCATAGGCCTACTTGGACAAAAAACCTAGGTGGGTAAAACGCGGAACTCTCATTTTAAAAGGTCTTCCCGGGTGAATTTCCGGAAGAAAAAAATCAGAGGAGTTGTTGAGAATATAATACATTCATCCAGATTAAAATTAAAACATTGTGACGATTTTTAATGTTGGTTCTGCAGCGCTAAAGATGCCCCCTCCTACGGCATCGGAGCCAGTACGCGTATACTGCACATACCGTGCATAGGCCTATTGCACAAAAAAACCTAGGTGGGTAAAACGCGGAACTCTCATTTTAAAAGGTCTTCCCGGGTGAATTTCGGAAAGAAAAAAATCACAGGAGTTGTTGAGAATATAATACATTCATCCAGATTAAAATTAAAAGATTGTGACGATTTTTAATGTTGGTTCTGCAGCGCTAAAGATGCCCCCTCCCACGCATCGGAGCCAGTACGTGTACACTGCACATACCGTGCATAGGCCTATTTGGACAAAAAACCTAGGTGGGTAAAACGCGGAACTCTCATTTTAAAAGGTCTTCCCGGGTGAATTTCCGAAAGAAAAAAATCAGAGGAGTTGTTGAGAATATAATACATTTATCCAGATTAAAATTAAACCATTTTGACGATTTTTAATGTTGGTTCTGCAGCGCTAAAGATGCCCCCTCCTACGGCATCGGAGCCAGTACGTGTACACTGCACATAACGTGCATAGGCCTACTTGGACAAAAAACCTAGGTGGGTAAAACGCGGAACTCTCATTTTAAACGGTCTTCCCGGGTGAATTTCCGAAAGAAAAAATCACAGGAGTTGTTGAGAATATAATACATTCATCCAGATTAAAATTAAAAGATTGTGACGATTTTTAATGTTGGTTCTGCAGCGCTAAAGATGCCCCCTCCTACGGCATCGGAGCCAGTACGCGTATACTGCCATACCGTGCATAGGCCTATTTGCACAAAAATCCTAGGTGGGTAAAACGCGGAACTCTCATTTTAAAAGGTCTTCCCGGGTGAATTTCGGAAAGAAAAAAATCACAGGAGTTGTTGAGAATATAATACATTTATCCAGATTAAAATTAAAAGATTGTGACGATTTTTAATGTTGGTTCTGCAGCGATAAATATGCCCCTTCCCACAGCATCGGAGCCAGTACGTGTACACTGCACATAACGTGCATTAGGCCTACTTGGACAAAAAAAACCTAGGTGGGTAAAACGCGGAACTCTCATTTTAAAAGGTCTTCCCGGGTGAATTTCCGAAAGAAAAAAATCAGAGGAGTTGTTGAGAATATAATACATTTATCCAGATTAAAATAAAAGATTGTGACGATTTTTAATGTTGGTTCTGCAGCGCTAATATGCCCCCTCCTACGCATCGGAGCACGTACGCGTATACTGCACATACCGTGCAATAGGCCTATTTGCACAAAAATCCTAGGTGGGTAAAACGCGGAACTCTCATTTTAAATGTCTTCCCGGTGAATTTCCGAAAGAGAAAAATCAAGAGAGTTGTTGAGAATATAATACATTTATCCAGATTAAAATTAAAACATTGTGACGATTTTTAATGTTGGTTCTGCAGCGATAAAGATGCCCCCTCCTACGGCATCGGAGCCAGTACGCGTATACTGCACATACCGTGCATAGGCCTATTTGCACAAAAAAACCTAGGTGGGTAAAACGCGGAACTCTCATTTTAAAAGTCTTCCCGGGTGAATTTCCGAAAGAAAAAAATCACAGGAGTTGTTGAGAATATAATACACTTATCCAGATTAAAAATAAAAGATTGTGACGATTTTTAATGTTGGTTCTGCAGCGATAAAGATGCCCCCTCCTACAGCATCGGAGCCAGTACGCGTATACTGCACATACCGTGCATAGGCCTATTTGGACAAAAAACCCTAGGTGGGTAAAACGCGGAACTCTCATTTTAAAATGTCTTCCCGGGTGAATTTCCGAAAGTAAAAATCAGAGGAGTTGTTGAGAATATAATACATTTATCCAGATTAAAATTAAACATTTGTGACGATTTTTAATGTTGGTTCTGCAGCGATAAAGATGCCCCCTCCTACGCATCGGAGCCGGTACGCGTATACTGCACATACCGTGCATAGGCCTATTTGGACAAAAAAACCTAGGTGGGTAAAACGCGGAACTCTCATTTTAAAATGTCTTCCCGGGTGAATTTCCGAAAGATAAAAATCACAGGAGTTGTTGAAAATATAATACATTTATCCAGATTAAAATTAAATCATTGTGACGATTTTTAATGTTGGTTCTGCAGCGCTAAAGATGCCCCCTCCTACGGCATCGGAGCCAGTACGCGTATACTGCACATACCGTGCAGGCCTATTTGCACAAAAAACCTAGGTGGGTAAAACGCGGAACTCTCATTTTAAAAGGTCTTCCCGGGTGAATTTCGGGAAGAAAAAATCACAGGAGTTGTTGAGAATATAATACATTATATCAGATTAAAATTAAAACATTGTGACGATTTTTAATTTGGTTCTGCAGCGATAAAGATGCCCCCTCTACGGCATCGGAGCCAGTACGCTATGCTGCACATACCGTGCATAGGCCTATTTGCACAAAAAAACCTAGGTGGGTAAAACGCGGAACTCTCATTTTAAAAGTCTTCCCGGTGAATTTCGGAAAGAAAAAAATCACAGGAGTTGTTGAGAATATAATACATTCATCCAGATGAAAATAAAACATTGTGACGATTTTTAATGTTGCTTCTGCAGCGCTAAAGATGCCCCTCCTACGGCATCGGAGCCAGTACGCGTATACTGCATATACCGTGCAATAGGGCCTATTTGCACAAAAACCTAGGTGGGTAAAACGCGGACTCTCATTTTAAAAGGTCTTCTCGGGTGAATTTCGGAAGAAAAAAATCAGAGGAGTTGTTGAGAATATAATACACTTATCCAGATTAAAATTAAAACATTGTGA